TATATAAAAATTCCATTCTGACACAAGCTGTTTTTGTGTTACTGATTACAACATGAAGAATAATTTATCCTACCTACAGTCATACATAATATTATCTGGGCTAGCAGAATTTCTTTGTCTAATCTGAAAAGCGCACGGGTACAGGTTAATCAAATATGTTGCCATATAATTGTCTTTGTTGATAAACATGAAGCTATCACACCTGTCATGCAAAATTGAGTACTGAGGAGAATAAGAACTGTACATACACAAATGTATGATAATATAGGCCTTTAAATTCCGCATCCCATTGCAAGACTGGGTATTTTTCAGCCATCTCCCATAATCTCAGAGGAAAATCTGACTCTGCAGGGTGGGACTATCACTGTGATCAGCAAAGCTTAAAATCCCACTTCTTTCCACATTCTTTCAAATCTCAACATGGACGGTGAGAGGAAAGAGAAACTACCAACACAAACTACCTACCTCCTAGTTTGGAAGTGAGTAACAAGACATCTTTAGAAGCAGTAAGTTATCTCTCAGGCTGTCAAAAGCTACTTCCCTCTTTGGTGCTGCAGAGAGCAGCAGAGCTTGCAGAAAGGACATAAATGAAAGAGGTAGCAGAGCTTGCAGAAAGGACATAAATGTAAAGCAGTTGGGCAGGGAGGGAGAAAGCTTATTAAAATTGAAACTAAAATCCTATTATTTTAGTGCAAGTTCTTAAATATTTATTGGATATAATGTTAATACAAAAAACAAATGTTCATGCTGTTGATTAATTATTACAGTACACTAACTGCTAGCTACTTTCAATTAATTTTTGAATTACATGTAGCTCCTAGAATGTACAGTCCTCACACTTTAAACACAATGCTCAGGAATCAACATTTCAAATTGTTTTGCAAATTTTATAGTATAAAAATTAGATACCATTTAAAAATTCTGAAAATCTTCACATAATGCACATTTTTATTAAACAAACTGGCATATATTAATGAATATAAATTCATTAAAATTTTACTTTTTCTATAAAATGAGACCTAACACTATTGTCTTCTCAATTATTAAGCTTTTTTGTTCATTTTTTTGTCAATTGTGTTTAATTGTGTAGTTTATCAAGTTTCCATTTATATGGAAGATGAAACAGAGAGCATATTTAGTCATCAAAACCACACAAACACCACACTTCAATCCAGCAAAATATTCAATCAGTAATCCTACCTGAAAATCCCCAGAGAAGCTGTTGGGCTAGAATATAATCAAATCGTTTTTTAATAAAACATTAAAAATGCAAGTGATTTGAATATGATCATGCTAAATATAACAGTAACAATCTGCCTCTTACAATAAAAGAACATATTTTATGGAATGAAAATGGATTTCGATCATTGTATGGAACACTTCAATAGTCATAACAAAACCATTGTCTTTCCAGATCGTCTGTCTCCTGACCTGGCCCGATAGGAAGATGAAGTAAATTCTGTAAGCTCTCTCTCCTCCCAAGGTAGCTGGGAGGGGCTCCTGTTGTTTTGCCACAAAAGGAAGAACTGCAGAAACTTTCTGCAGAAGCTCTTTGGTTTTAATGACAGCTAATTAGCAACAGGCCCTATAAGCTAAATATGTGTTGTATAAAGAAATATTTCGTTATATCAATCTTAAATTTCTAGCCTTTCATTATCATTGGCAGTTCTCTGGCTATTGTATTATAAGGAAAGATAAGAACATTTGATGTTCCTTCTCTGTAAGATATACCTTACTTTGTATAACTATCTTCATAATAATTGTCTTATACTTATTTCCTCTGTGAACTGAACAGTCCCAACCTTCTAGTCTCTTCTTGTATGGAAATTTTGCGACGCCGCTAATCATTTTGGCACTTGTCTTTAAATCCCTTCTATTTTTGTTGCATGTTAATATATTAAGAGAGATGTATGTGATCACTTGTCCCATGCAAGAGATGCAGATCACCAAAGGATGGATACCTGAAGGACTTCAACTCAGTAAAGTGAGAGGAAAAAAAGCAGGAGCTACCAAAGGAAATGGTGAAAAGTCAACCAAAGAAATTAGAGAAAAAGCACAGGAGTACACAATCACAGAAGCTTTAAAAAAAAAAAAAGAGGACATCAAGAAAATTTAGATAAAGACTATCAAAAACAGCAAACTGGTGTGACCTTTCTAGTATTGCCAGGTGTCTGGTTTTTGCCCGGACAGTTCAGTATTTTGGCCTTCTGTCTGGTAAAAAAAAACAGAGAATACTGGACAAGTAAAATGTCTGGTATTTTCTGTTTTCCTCTGTCGGAAGGCTGGTGGCGTCTGCAAGGGTGGGGGGAGCGAGGTAATTTAAAGGCCCAGTGGCTCAAAAAGATGGCCGGTGGTGTCTGTGAGGGTGGGGGGGAGTGAGGAACGTGGTAATTTAAAGGCGCAGAGGCCTTTTTTTTTAAAAAAAAGATGGCCAGCGGCGTCGGCGGGAGCGAGGAAATTTAAAGTCACAGCAGCCTTTTTTATTTTTCTCAGAAAGATGGCCAGCGGTGTCTGCGACAGCGGTGGGAGCGAGGTAATTTAAAGGCACAGCGACCTTTTCATTTTTTGCTCAACCAATTTTTCCCTGCCTGTCTGGGGAATACTATGTGCAATTCTGGTGTTCATACCTTAAAACAAAAGTTGATTAATTGGAAAGAGTTCAGAAAAATAGAGAAAGATGGGTTTCTTTTAAATAGCTTAAAAAACTTGGGGGAAATAAAGGTCCTGTAGCACCTTAAGCTACGTCTAGAATGCAAGCCTCTTTAGCTTCCCTAAACTATTCTAATTCAAAATTAAATTATGGAAATAATAGCTTTTAAGTAAAGCAAGCCACACAATTTCTTCTTAATCTCATTAGTATCAATCTATTTTTTGTAAGTATGAGAATACAAAAAATCTTAATATTACCTCGGCTTTTGGCAGCTTCCTTCAAAGCAATTAGAACTTGAGGTTTCAGATTATCAGAAAGTAATCGTCCTTCAAGACCTGGGAAGAGGGACCTAGCATGCCATTAAAAACAAGTATTTATCTTAGTATTCTTATCCACATCATACATGTTGTTCAATAGTCTAAAATATCATAAAATAGTTATACAGGTACATGTCTATATATTTTGAAGTTTTCCTTTCCTACTATATTCTTATAAAAATAAATGATGTATATCTGAACAGAGAATCCAAACAATGTTAACTTAATAATTCTGTACGTTTGACAGGTGACTGAAGAGCATTCTTGTTAAAGTTACAAGATTTACAGCCTAAAGGAATCCAGATTGAATTTAATGTAGTTATTCTCTACAAAAAGACTTTTAAAATAACTTCTTAGAGTTCTATGAATCTCAGCTAACTGAGATCAGAGTATAAAGATATACAGTATGTAATTGCTAGCACTGAAAACTCCACTTGGGTCCTGAAAGTTAAGCTGTCTCTTCCTGGCTCTGAAGCCACCACCAATAAATAATTGTAAACCACCAATAACCATAATAAAGGTTGAATTTACATTTTATGCTCCAGAGTCAATATTCATGTAAAAGTTGTAAAAGATAACTTCTTAAAGTCCTTTAGCAATAGTGTCTCAACCGTAACTCTTCAGTTACCTTACCTCATATCTTATAGGTAGTGCTGAGGAATCTTATAGGAGTGCTGGGGAGGAGTCAGCTGTCATGGTATATGTAGGTACCAATGGTTAAGAGAAAGGTATGCGAGAAGTTCTGGGAGGCCAAATTTTAAGTTGGTAGGTAAGGGATTCAGGTTTATTAGGAATTGGGGAACCTTTTGGGGGAAGCAGTGGACTATATTTGAGGGGATGGGCTCCACCTTGAAAAATAGAACCAGACTACTGACACATACAGTTAAAAAGTTGTAGAGGACATTTTAAATTAACGGCTGAAGAAAAGATATTAGGTGTGGAGGAGCACAGACTTCAGGCAGATATACCCCTCATGGATGAATTTATTAAAGGGGAACTCTATACACTAAAAAAGAGGCAGGAAGGAAGTTGGTAAAGTAAAGGCAGAGGACAGAACAGTAAAATTTAACAGACATATTTAAATATAACAAGTGAAGGCAAGCAAATGAATATTGACAAAATGTATATGTACTTACATGCTAATGCTAAATATTAAGATGGGTGAACTAGAGTGCCTAGCATTAAATTGAGGACATTGTTATATTATGCATTATAGAAATGTAATGGATTATCGGGGAACATGTTAATAACATGGTATAAATGGGAATGACAAAAGTAGCTTGCACTGTTGGAAGACTAGTATTATAGTTTAGAGAAACCATAAACTTATATTGACTATCTAAATGTCACTTCAAGGTGTGACGCAGAGATAAAATGTCTTGACAACAAACAGGAGTACATCATGGAGCAGTTAGGTCTAGAAGCCACAAAGGGAGAATTAATTCTTGATTTAATCCTAAATGGCGCTCAGGATCTGTCTAAAAGGTATCTATAGCAGAACTGTTTGATAATAGTGACCAGAATGTAATTAAATTTAACTAGCAGGCTGCGCCTTGTGCTCGCTACATTCGCCAACCCCCCTCTCTCTGGCAGCTTTCACAGCCAGAGAACGTGATAACATTATTCTGTCACCCACCAGAAAAACCTTCTTTTATAGAGAGGGATATCACTGTAGGGAGGATAATAATAATAAAAAAAACCCAACAACAACACAGTAACATTTAACTGTAAAGGGGGAACTACACAAAACCAAGGATGCTTAATGGCTGTAGCCCCAAAAATTTCAGGGTGTGTTGAGCCAATGGCACAGCTGAAGGCAGCAGTGTGTCAGTACTCCTCTAGGAGCAAGGCAGACTTGCCTGGTAGGAGGTATGATTTCATACTTTCATAGAATCATAGAATACTAGGACCGGAAGGGACCTCGGGAGGTCATCGAGTCCAGTCCCCTGCCCTCATGGCAGGACCAAATACTGTCTAGACTATCCCTGATCGACTTATCTAACCTACACTTAAATATCTCCACAGATGGAGACTCTACAACCTCCCTGCGCAATTTATTCCAGTGTTTGACTACCCTGACAGGAACTTTTTCCTAATGTCCAACCTAAACCTCCCTTGCTGCAGTTTAAGCCCATTGCTTCTTGTTCTATCCTCAGAGGCCAAGATGAACAAGTTTTCTCCCTGTTCCTTATGACACCCTTTTAGATACCTGCATTAGAGGATGTCTCTTCTAGACCATTGATTTACCGCTCACAGGGTATGCTTTTGCATAAGATTCAGGGGTAAAAGAATCCTTGACCTGACTGTGTTGAGCCCAGGTGTGAAGCAATTGCTGGAGGAAGTATGAAGAGAGGAAAGAGGCCCCTTGGTCTATGGGTTCAGGAGAACTTTAAAGTGACACTTATACAGTCAATGTCTGGGGGAGGTGTGAGACAGATGCCCGCTGGTGGTCCAATACCCTGCTAGCTACACTTGACACATCTGAAATACTCAGTATACCCCTACTTACTGTTGTTACAATCTGTATCTAAAAGGTGTTGTGTAATACAACATTGGAAAACTAATCACTCACTGGTCACAAAGGATGTGTCTACACTGCACACTTATTTTGGAATAAGCTATTCCAGAAGAAATACTCTGAAATAGCTTATTTCAAAATAGCGTGTCTACACTACAGGAAATGAGTCTAAGGCAGGTTCCCCTAATGTGGATGTGCTACCTCAATTTAGAGCCCCAGGAAGCACTAGGAAGTAATTACTTTGAATGACCCTGAGGAGGAGCTATTACAAAATAGCAGCAGTGGAGCAGCCACACTACAGTTATTTCAAAATAGCTATTTCGGAATAAGCGTTATTCCTCATTGAATGAGGCTTACAGAAGTCAGAATAAGCCATCCGTTATTTCGAATTTATTTCAAAATAACAGAATTGCTGTGTAGACACTTGCATTGTTATTTCAGAATAATGACCGCTATTCCGAAATAACACTGCTGTGTAGACACACCTAATATTTTTATGTGGTATATGTATAGTCAATCCACAAGGTTTATTCATGCATGCTGAAGTTATAGCCCTAAAATGTGTTTGAACTAGGCATATCAGGTGAGTTGATGAATAATATTTTTTCAGACAAAGTAATGTGGTTCTCCCTCCACACCCCCAAAATGTGTCTTCATGTAAACTGAGCTCAGTGTTACCAAAGTGAAAGAAAAGCACATTTGCATGTTGAGGAGACAAAGAACCAGCAGAGCAAGTGGAGGAAAAGCAGGGGATGAAGACTGTACCCCCAAGAAGCCTCCCTGCTTCTTAAAATAGGGTCAATGAAGTTTGAGGGAGATACTTTTCAAAGCTTTTCTGGTCTATAAAGACAGGATCAGAGAACTCCATAGTTATCCTTTATCTGAGAAGACAAGAAAAACCAGCACATTGGACTAAGAAAAGTCTGGTCAGTCATGCTGGAAAAGAGGTTAGGTGAGAAATACTTCTTTGAACAAGAGACTTAAATCAGGTTTTAGTTTTACATTCATGTTTACTTTTGTTTGTAACCCTCTCTTTATTCCATATATGTGGTATCTCTTAAACCTATGGCTTATTGTTCAATAAACTTATATTTAGGTTGTTGATTAATTGAAGTTAACTTACATAATTAACTAAAAAAAATTGTTTGAAGTTTTGATCACACTTTTAAACAATAGACTACCAATTGAAATTTATTAAATATTTTAGATATTTTTTAACCTTTTTAAACATATAGATTTCAATTACAAAACAGAATACCAAGCCTACACTGTTCACTTTATATTATTTTTATTACAAATATTCACACTGTAAAAATAATAAACAAAAGAAATACAAGTTGCACCTCCCACAACCAGCACTCTTTGGTCTGACAACATCTGCGGCCCAACAGGGCCATGGATGTTCATGAACCAAAGAACCCAGGGAGCCTAGTGGCAGGAGGGCTGGCAGAGCAGGGCCAGAGCTGGAGCTTCTGGCAGCAGGGGACCGGGCCGGAGTCCGCAGCAGACCAGGGCAGTGGGGAGGCCAGGGCCAAAACCTGGAGTAACCTGCACAGCAGCACAGAGCTTTTAGCAGCCCACAGAAGTGCAGGGCTGGGGCCTTTCGCAGCCCACAGCAGTGCAGTGCTGGTGCCCTTGGCAGCCCATAGTAGCACAGAGTCAGTGCCCACAGCAGTCTGACCAGGCCAGAGTCCATGGCCCAGCAGCCTGAGGCCAATAGCAGCGGGGCTAGCTGCCCCGTCAGTTGATAGTCAGGGGCAGCAGGGCTGTCAGTCTAGCCGGGGCCGTCGGAAGGAGTGGCTGGAGGTGGGGGGCAGCTGTGACAGTAGTGGACCTGGGAGCACTGAAGGGAAGAGGACTGGGGAGTAGCTATCAGTGGATCATCCCTGGTATCGGTAAATTCCCTCATTCGGGACGTGTGAGGTCCCAAGGGACAGACGAGGGAGGTACAATCTGTAGTACTTTTCAAATCAACCTCATATAAAGTATTGTAGGACAATTTGTTTCTCATGAAAGTGCAACTTACAAATGTAGATTTTTTGTTATATAAATGAACTGAAAAACACACCAATATAAATTGTTAGTGCCTACAAAGTCCACTCAGTCCTACTTGTTCAGCCAATTGCTAATACATATAAATGTGTTTACATTAAAGAGAGCTAATGCTATCCGCTTATTTATGTCATTTACAGGGCATTTTTGTAGCTGGCATTGGAAAGTATTTATGTCAGATATGCTAAACATTTGTACGTCCCTTCATGCTTTAGCCACGATTTAAAAGACATGCTTTCATGCTGATAACACGCATTAAAAAGAATGTGTTAATTAAATTTCTGACTGAACTCCTTGGGGGGAGAATTATGTGTCTCTTGTTCTGTGTTTTAAGTGCATTCTACTATATATTTCATGATATAGCAGTCTTGGGGGGATGACCCAGGTTTTGTGTTGTTGTTTTAAGAACATTTGCACTGCAGATTTGACAAAATGCAAATAAGGTACAAATATCAGATTTCTAAAGATAACTACAACACTCAGTACAAGATTATGACTCTGAAGTGCCATCCAAAATCTGAGGGGTGGGGTGCGGACCTGTAGGGGAGCCTGGACTACTCTGTGTTGGCAATAAATGGTGATGTCTGCCTTGTCCAAAGTGTGGATTTCTGGCCTGTATCAAGTTTGGTGCGCCAAAGCATGCAGGCAGAGCCCAAGAGTCAGGAATTGTTTTGCATAACAATGCAGATTAAGCATGATACGCGAGACCACGTCAAAAACACAGAACAAGCAGCCTTGTACTGGTACTTGTTTCTGATAAGCAATAAATACAGATACAGTCATAAAACTGTCAACTACACACATTGCAGCAACATCCTGAGCAGCAGGATGTACCCCAAATAGGGGCATAGGGCATTTTACGTATCCTACACAATACGTAATCAATTGGTAAATATTATTAGAATGACCAAGTCTTGCTTTGCTATAAATTGGGTTTAGTAAGAACAATCGATGGGAGGGAATGGGCAGGATTGACCCACACGTCCTGCTAGATGTAACTAGAAGTAATTAGGCCCTTCACACTGGTGGCCCAGCACGTGGCGTTCCTGTATGTGGGAAGAAACAGAACCACAGAACCTTCCTGGCACTGTAGGTAGCATACGGGTGAAGTGTAAGTGAATTAGGCTTTATTATTGTATATGCAGTAAACTTCCAATAATCCAGCACCTTTAGGACCCAGGGGGTGCCGGATTATCAGATATGACGGACAGTCGGAAGGGGAGGCTATGAGGGGTCTGGGATGGAGTGTGGTGGGGGGGATGCTACCCCAGACCCCTCATAGCCCCCCCCTTCCGATAGTCCGGCTCTGTACCAGGCGTCTCGATTCAGCTGCTGCTGGTCAGTTTCAGGAGCGGCCGGCTTGGGGGGTGCTGGGGGG